CCGGTCTGATAGCCGAGTGCTGTGATGTGCCCAGTGTGGGCACTCAGGGCACTCCAAGCCAGGACTGCTTTGCAAGCGGGGAACCCCTGAGAACTGTCTGTCCGGGGTGGGGATCGGGTCCCTTTAAGCACAGCCCTTGGCTAGCCTGAGACAGCAGCTCCACGCTCTAAGTCCTCATCTGATCCCCTGCCGGCACTGCTTCCGGCCATCCTTAACCCCGGTTCAGGGTCCACTTAATTAGGAAAACGCTAATTCGAACTAGTTTTTTAGTCTGGATCCGTTAGTTCGAATTAGTGCTGTAGTGTAGACATACTCTGGGAGACATCCTAGCTCCCTTGCACCAGCTTGAGGGAGAGGGTCACGGTGCCCGTCTCCTCCTCTTCCTCCGCCATAGCCAGCTGGCCCTGGCCCTCCTGCTCCTGCTCCTCCTCTGGCTAGCTGATGACTGGGATCTCCAGTCCGGAGTCCACAAGGATGAGTGGAGAAGATGTTTCCCCACCCCCCAAGATTTCGTGCAGTTCCCTGTAATAGGGACAGGTGTGGGGTCTTGCCCCTGAGCGGAAGCTGCGCTCAGTGGCACAGACATATCCCTGGCAGAGCTCTTTCACCTTACTCCAGACCTGTTCCAAGGTCCGGGGTGGGTGTTCACACTCCACCAGGGACTTAGCCATCTGGCCATAAATGTCCATGTTGCTGTGCTTTTTCTGGGGATCCTACAAGGCCTCCTCGCCCCACAGTTTGAGGAGGGACTGGATCTCTGGGTCTGACCAGAAGGGTGTGCAACCCCTGGGGCTGCTCCCGGCGAGAGCCAGGAGGAGTCGCGGGAGGGTTTAGGTGTGGACATGGCTTGCAATGCCTTTGTCAAGGAGAGCTACGCAGTCAGGGTGCTGCTCTCTGGCTGGCTTCCTGCCACAAGGCTTGTCTAGGGTGCCTGCAGCTTTAAGAGGGGCCAGGAGACCGGAAATATAGAGTTGTGATTACTTTGTATGGAGTGGCTACCTGGACACCTGTGTTATTTCCTAGAGGCCGCCTCTTCTGAAAAAAACCCTCCTCCCCATCCACACACCTTTTTGCAAAAGAGCTCTTTCTCAAAAAGGGTTCTTCCTTATAGAAAGAGGATTACCGCCGTCAGAAAAAGCCCTCTGTTCTTTCGATTTACTTATGAAAGAACACAATTGCTGTGTGAATGTTCCGCAAGTTTTTTCAGAAAAACGGCCATTTTTCTGACAAAACTCGGTAGTGCAGACATACCAGGAGAGACTTTGAGAGACAGGCCAGTCCTTGCTTACAGACAGCCCCCCAACCTGAAACAAATACTCACCAACTGCACATCTCACCACAGAAACGCTAGCCCAGAAACCAATCTCTGCAACAAAAACCCATTTGCCAACTTATCCGCATATCTATTCAAATGATACCATCTTAGGATCTAACCATATCAGCCACACCATCAAGGGCTCATTCACTTGCACATCTGCTAATGTGATCTATGCCATCCTGTGCCAGAAATGCCCCTCTGCCATGTATATTGGCCAAACTGGATTGTCTCTATGCAAAAAAAACCAAACGAATACAAATCAGACGTCAAGAATGGTAGCATTTAAAAACCAGTAGGAAAATGCTTCAGTCTCCCTGGACACTTAGTAACAGACTTGAAAGCTGCCATATTTAAAAAACAGAACAAAAAAACAACAACAAAACCCTTCAAAATCAGATTGCTGTGTGAAACTGCAGAGCTGGAATTCACATGCAAACCCACTATCAGACTGGGTCTGAATGGAGACTGGGAGTGGCTGGCTCGCTTCAAAAAGTAATTTCCCCCTCATTTGATATTTTCACCTTCTCAGCTATTGTTGGAAATGGGCCACATCCGCCCTGATTGAATCGATCTTGTTCACACTTGTCCTCTGCATAGCAGTGTAACACTCCCATCTTTGCATATATATATACCTGCCAAACTGAAGTTTTGATTTCATGCATCTGACAAAGTGAGTTCCAGCCTAGCAAATCTTATGGCCAAATAAATGTGTTAGTCTTTATGGTGCCACATGACCCTTCGTTGTTTAAATCCTTGTGTTTCAGGGCATAAAGCAACCATAAACTGATGGGATTAAGAAGAAATTTATTTTATGGGCAGATTATGCAGTAAATAACCATTATGGGGACTCTAGGACCTTTCTCAGAACTAATTAGCCACTTTTTAGAGGCAAAATACAAGAACAGACAGAGCATTGGTTTGATACAGTACAGCATTCAGCTGTTGTTACCAAGGACACCAAAAAATGCCTACCTGATATAGTGGCTGTTAGATCTCACTTCCCCATGTCTGATACGCTAGCATAAACCATTTCTTGAATATGTGCTGGTAATGCCACTCTGCCCAGTGAATGAAAATTATGTGTACAGTACCCTGAGTCGCAGGAACTGATACAGTTCATTGACCATCTAGATTATAAAATATTTCTTAAACG